GTCCAGATCCATCATTGTTTGAGTCCACAGTGATCTCTGGATGTAGGCGAACTACAACTCCAAAACCTAAGGACACTGCCCACCAAACCCTTCCAGTATTTTCTGTTGGTCATGGGAGTTCCGTGTGCCAAGTTTGGCTCAATTCCATCATTGGTGGGGTTCAGAATGCTCTTTGATTGTAGTTGAACTATAAATTCCAGCAACTACAACTCCCAAATGTGAAGTCTATTTTCCCCAAAGTCCACCAGTGTTCACATTTGGGCATATTTATTCGTGTAGAGTTTGGTCCAGATCCATCATTGTTTGAGTCCACAATGATCTCTGGATGTAGGTGAACTACAACTCCAAAACCAAAGGACACTGCCCACAAAACCCTTCCGGTATTTTCTGTTGGTCATGGGAGAACTATGTGCCAAGTTTGGTTCAGTTCCATCGTTGGTGGGGTTCAGAATGCTTTTTGATTGTAGGTGAACTATAAATCCCAGCAACTACAACTCCCAAATGACAAAATCAATTTTTTTGAGTGAAGGACATACATTGGGTTGTTAGGTGTCTTGTGTCCAAATTTGGTGTCAATTCGTCCAGCGGTTTTTAAGTTGTGTTAATCCCACAAATGAATATTACCTTTTTATTTATATAAATAATAATAAAAATAATATTGTATATAATAATAAACAATACAGCCAAAACTGTAAACCGCTCTGAGTCCCCTTTGGGTTGAGATAGAGCAAGTTAGAAATAACAGTAAATTACTATATATTTTGGGGGTTATAAAGGTGGGGGGAGAATGGCAGGACCCCCTTAATGCCTTTCCCTTTGGCAGAGGCATTTGGGGAGTCTTCTCCTTCTCTCTTGGAGGTCCCTGGAGAGACCCCATCCCTCCCAGTTTGCTTTCCCGTTCCTCTCCACATCCATTATTTTATCTGCTGCTATTATTGGCGGCAATCTGCACCATGTGCTTCCCACCCCCCCCAAAAAAACTCAAAAAAGTTGCCTGAAACTGGGAATTTAGTACCATTTAGGGGTGCTGGGAGCCCAGAGGGGGCCTTTTGGGTCTTTAAGGAAAGCCCCCAGAACAGTAAAGAAGGAAAAACACCAAAAAAGGGGAATTCCAGACAAGAAACTATCAAGGCCATCTTATCACCTTCCAACAAAGGATTCCCCCAGGCAGGAAGCAGCCGAGCTTTGAAACTGCAAGGCTTTTCAATGCTAATCACAGTGATCAATTGCAGCAAACAGACTATTTATTTATTTACAGTATTTATATACCGCCTTCCCCACCCTGCACATTATTCCACAGATATATTAACCCAACTTGTTTCCAACAAACCTCACAACCTCTAAGGATGCCTGTGATAAATGTGGGTGAAATGTCAGGAGAGAATGCTTCTGGAACATGGGTGTGCAGCTCAGAAAACTCACAGCAACCCCCACCCTTTGCTAGGGTCTGGGATGCCTCCAGCTCCATGCTGAAATTGCAATTAATAATATTAGTGGATTGTTGTGTTTTCCAGGCTGTGGGGCCATGTTCCAGAAGCATTCTCTCCTGATGTTTTGCCACATCTATGGCAGGCACCCTCAGAGGTGGTGGAGTCTGCCATAGATGTGGGTGAAACGTCAGCAGTGAATGTTTCTGGGACATGTATTGTCGAAGGGTTTCATAGCCGGAATCACTGGATTGTTGTAGATTTCTCGGGCTGTCTGGCCATGTTCCAGAAGCATTCTCTCCTGACGTTTCCCCCGCATCTACGGCAGGCACCCTCAGTGGTTGTGAGGTCTGCCGTAGATGTGGGCGAAACGTCAGGAGAGAATGCTTCTAGAACATGGCCAGACAGCCCGAGAAATCTACAACAATCCAGTGATTCCGGCTATGAAAGCCTTCGACAATACATGTTCCAGAAGCATGTTCCACCCTCAGAGGTTGTGATGTCTGCCATAGATGTGGGCGAAACATCAGGAGAGAATGCTTCTGGGACATGTATTGTCAAAGGCTTTCATGGCCGGAATCACTGGGTTGTTGTAGGTTTCTCGGGCTGTCTGGCCATGTTCTAGAAGCATTCTCTCCTGACGTTTCGCCCGCATCTATGGCAGGCATCCTCAGAGGTTTTGAGATGCAGATGAAATGTCAGGAGAGAATGCTTCTAGAACATGTTTGGACAGCCCAAGAACCTACAACTATTTCTGGATGATAGCCAGAGAGCCCACAAAACTTAAAAAGAACCCAGTGATATTCTGGCCATGAAACCCTTTGACAGTACAACAATATTGTAAATAAGTAAGTAAATAAATAAAAATTAGCCGTTATTATTAGCTATTACCATCCCCAAGAGTGAATGTGTTGATGCGGTGCAATAAAGGGGGGCTCCAGAGTTGCAAAGGGACCTGAAGAGCAGCTCCAAGCCATGTGGGGCCCGATCTCCCTGGATTCCCTTTTATGGCTCAAATCTGGAAGGGTGGATCCCGCGCTCCCGGGGACTTTCCCCGGCCATGCGCCTGCTCTGCAAGACCCTTTTGGGAGATGGCGTTGGGATATCAACAAAGTTATTATTATTTATTATTTTGCATGTCCCCCTTTCACCCCTTCCCATGCATACCCACCCCATTGGGCTCATTTGCCCCCTTCTGCCCCACATTTGGGGCCGCACCCCAAAGGCCTCTCTTGGCCTTGTATTTCCAGAGGGAGACGTGGCAGCAGAGCAGCGTGTCCCACCTTTCCCAAACAATGCAGGCGGCAACAACAAGAGAGTGGGCGGCAAGCAGGCAGGCGGGCAGCAGTAGCCCTGGCCGCAGAGGGGCCGCTCGGTCCGGCCACCCGCCCGCGGGACACTCCTTGCCTGCCCCCTTCCCCACCCTTCCTTCCTCCCTCCTTCCTTTTAGGGAGGAAAAATGCTCCAAAGCTTGGCCGGAGAAGGAGATCTTGCTGCCACTCCCTCCAGCACTTGTGTTTTTGCAAAAGGGAACTTCAGGCTAACTCTTGGGGAGGGCCTGTGCGTCTTAAGATGTTTGGGGGGGGGGGCTCTTTCCAGGAGGCCATGGCTTCCAGTGTGTCTTAAGATAAGGGAGGGGGGTCTCATTCCAAAACGGTTAGGGTTCCCGGGTCTTTCCAAAGCAGTCAACAGCATGCACTTGGGTTCCCCCTCCTCTTAAGGAGGACAGGGTCTCAAGGTTTGGGGAGGGGGTTATGCAGGATAATAGGCAATGAGGCAAAAATGTCCCTACTAATAATATAATATATTGTGTATACATATAATATTTATAATATAATGTAATGCAATATAATACTAGTAATAACAATGATATTTGGGGGGGGGGCTCTCTAGGAGCCCATGGCTTCCAGTGTGTCTTAAGATTGGGGAGGGGGCCTCTTTCCAAAATGGTTAGGGCTTCCACTTGGCTTCCGGGGTCTTTCCAAAGCAGTCAACAACTTGCACTTGTGTTCCTCCTCCTCTAAATGAGGACAGGGTCTCAAGGTTTGGGGAGGGGGTTATGCAGGATAGTAATAATAATAATTAGTTTTCTGTAGAATTACTGACAGTAGGATCAGTGCAATAATGAACAGCAGTGGTGACAGTGAGTCGCCCTGGAAAACTCCTCTCTTGATGTTAACAGTTCCATAGCTATCGTTGTCCACGAACAACTCAGTTTTCCATCATTTTTGGTGAATTTTCTAATATTTTCACAAACTCTGATGACATCTAGACATTTGATAATCCAATGGATAATCCAATTCAACAGCCAGCAGAGTGTCTACTGTGGACTCATTTTGTTGTGTTTCAAATAATAATAATTATGATGATATGATGATGATGAATTCTTCCCTGGCAAGGGGCGGGCATGATTTCCTTCCCTCTCCTCCCTCTTCAGACTCAGTTTCCTCTTTCTAATATTTTCACAAACTCCGATGACATCTAAACATTTGATAATCCATTGGACAATCCGATTCAACAGCCAGCAGTGTCTAATGTGGACTCATTTTGTTGTGTTTCAAATAATAATAATTATGATGATGAGATGATGATGATGAATTCTTCCCTGGCAAGGGGCGGGCATGATTTCCTTCCCTCTCCTCCCTCTGCAGACTCAGTTTCCTCTTTCTAATATTTTCACAAACTCCGATGACATCTAGACATTTGATAATCCATTGGACAATCCAAATCAACAGCCAGCAGAGTGTCTACTGTGGACTCATCTCGTTGTGTTTCAAATAATAATAATAATAATAATAATAATAATAATAAATTCTTCCCTGGCAAGGGGCGGGCATGGAAATTATTATTATTATTATTAATAATAATAATAATAATAATAATAATGAATTCTTCCCTGGCAAGGGGTGGGCATGGTTTCCTTCCCTCTCCTCCCTCTGCAGACTCAGTTTCCTTTTTGTGTGAAGAAGGCATGGGAGGGGGCTTGCCCTTCCTTGGACCCCCTCCCCATTTTTGGCAAATGGGTGGGGAGGAGGGGAAGGGCAAGGAGGCCTTTGCTTCTTGCCCTGCCCCCTATGAAGGCTCGCTTTGCTAGAATAACACCATTGCTTGCAGCCCTTCCTGCCACCCTGACCACTGCGTAGGATGGACAAATCTTCAGCATTCCCTCTGGGTGTTTTGGACTTCAACTCCCACCATTCCTAACAGCTTCAGGCCCTTTCCTTTTCACCCTCAGCCGCTTAAGCGGCTGAGGGTGAAAAGGAAGGGGCCTGAAGCTGTTAGGAATGGTGGGAGTTGAAGTCCAAAATACTCAGAAGTCTCACATTGGTCCAAGCCTGGTTTCTGGAGAAACAACTGTGTTGCAGTGCGGTCCTATTGGGAAAATATGTGATATTTAAAGAGTCCCCCCACCTCTCAATTAGCCCCCTCTGCCACCAGAGAATGCATTGATGGGGTGCTTTGGGGCTTGGCTTGGTTTGTTGACGTTTGCCAATTGCCCCCCCCCAACTGAAGCGCCTCCTCTTCCTGCCCCCTCTTTATTATTGTTGTCGTTGTCGTTGCTCGTCTTTGCAGCCGGCGGAGGTGAACACTCTGGTGGGGAAGGACCGGAGCAGCCTCTTTGTGAACGGCCTGACGCTGGGGGGCCAGAAGTGCTCCGTCATCCGGGACAGCCTCCACACGGACGGGGAGTGCACCATGGACCTCCGGACAAAGAGCACCGGCGGGGCCCCCACCTTCAACATCACAGCCGCCATGACCAACAAGAGTGAGTAGTCGTCGGCACCTCCACCACCAACCCAATGCGACATATGGGGTGGGGGGTCCGAGCCCTCGCTGTGCCTCAAGGGCCATTTCCCTCTTCAAAACCCTAAAAGTATACATAGGATGTCAATTGACACTGCTTGTTATGCAGTTTCCAACAAAAACCCTCAACCGTTGGGGATGCCTGCCATAGATGTGGGCGAAATGTCAGGAGAGAATGCTTCTGGAGCATGGACAGACAGCCCAAAAAGCGCACAGCAACCCAAAGCTTGTTATGCTTTGTCGAAGGCTTTCACGGCCAGAATCACTGGGTTGCTGTGAGTTTTCCAGGATGTATGCCCACATTCCAGAAGCATTCTCTCCTGACGTTTCACCCGCATCTATGGCAAGCATCCTGAGATCCTCAAAAACACTGAAGATGCCTGCCATGGATAAAACCTCCCAACCTCTGAGGATGCCTGTCGTAGATGCAGGCAAAACGTCAGGAATGCTTCTGGAACATATTGGACAGACAGCCCGGAAAACTCACAGCAACCCTTGTTATGCTTTGTTGGCATTGGGTTGTTGAGTTTTTCAGGCTGTATGGACATGTTCCAGAAGGAAAATGGGGTTTCTATATCTGTGGAATAATGTCCAGGGTGGGAGAAAGAACTCTTGTCTGTTGGAGGGAGGGGTGAATGTTTCCATTGGCCACCTTGGTTAGCCTAGCAGTTTCAATGCCTGGCTGCTTCCTGCCTTGGTTAGTCTTTAAGGGCCTAGCAGTTTCAATGCCTGGCTGCTTCCTACCTCGGTTAGCCTTTAATGGCCTAGCAGTTTCAGTGCCTGGCTGCTTCCTGCCTGGCGGAATCCTTTGTTGGCAGTAATGTTTGCCAATCTTTTATGCTGTAAACCGCCCTGAGTCCCCTTGGGGAGATAGGGTGGGACAAAAACAAAGTATTATTATTATTATTATTATTATTATTATTATTAGTGTCTTATCTTTTATTTTAATTATTATTTATTATTATTATTTACTTCATTTATATGCTGCTTTTCTCAGCCCTCGGGCGACTCAAAGCGGTTAACAATAGCAAAAATTCAATGCTTAACATCATAAAAACAGTTAAAAAAACGATTAAAATAATAACATAATGAACAGTTAAACATCAATATAACGTCTCATTAGCGTCTCAAGTAATGATGTTGCATCCTGCTTCGAGCCACAGGGAGAGGTGGGTCATACATTATTATTATTATTATTATTATTATTATTATTATTATTATTATGGGGAGAGTGGGACATCCATATTTATTTGAATCTAATGCTCACCTTTACTGACACAAAAACACAGTATATCACAGCAAATGCGATCTATATGCTGAATTTTGTATTATTATTATTATGATTATTATTAGTGTCTTATCTCTCATTTTAATGATGTTGCATCCTGCTTCGAGCCACAGGGAGAGCTGGGACATACATTATTATTATTATTATTATTATTATTATTATGGGGAGAGTGCCTTTGGATCCTTTGTTGGGAGAAAAGTGGGACATCCATATTTATTTGAATCTAATGCTCACCTTTACTGACACAAAAACACAGTATATTAAAGCAAACGAGATCTATATGCTGAATTTTGTATTATTATTATTATTATTATTATTGGTGTTCAGGATGGGAAACCAAATCTTATTTATTTATTTACGGCATTTCTATGCCACCCTTTTCACCCCGAAGGGGACTCAGAGTGGTTTACAATATATATTTTCATACAATATATTATATTATTATCATAGTACAATATCAGTATATATTACTATATTGCACTATACCATTCTATTGTAATATTATTAGTAATATTACATGTAATGTAAATATATAATTATAATATTGAATTATTATTATTACTAGTATTATATTGTATTACATTATAATATTATAAATATTATATGTATATACAATATACTAATATTATTAGTAAAGGCAAGATGGAAATGTGGTGTCCACTTTATAATGGGGGTCCCCTTCCTCAAGCCCCTTTGTGACCTTTGCGTGACCCCTGTTACCTTCTGTTCCCCCCCAAATGCATAAGCAATTCTCCTTTTGCTCGTGGGAGCAGGAAAGTCTTAGAATAATATTTTTCTATTCACCAACATGCCAACATTGAGAATGTTGGGACACGTCCATCAAAAGGGGGGTGGGGGCCCCGGAGTGGCAAGGCAGCCCCCTCTTCCTTTGCCCCTCCCTCCCTCCCCAAACAGACCCCTTTCTTCTTTCTCTCTTTTGCAGCTGTCCTTCCTTCTCTCCCTCCCTTCCTTCCTTCCATGGGTCTGCATTCCTTGCCCCCTCCCTCCCCGACAGCTGTGGCCAGGGATCCTCTGTCCGGCAGACCTGGGGGGGGGGGGGGGAAGGGAGATGGACAGCTGTGGCCTGGCCCCATCCGGCTGCTGCTTCTGCCCCTTTGAAGGCAGAGAAGGGCCTACTGTCCGTCCCTCCTTCCTTCGGGCAGCTGCAGGGAGGAGGGCCATAAATCTTGCTCAAGAGAGGACTGACCAATGGGCGTGGGGTGGGGTGGGGTGGGGGGGGGGTGGCAGGCTTTATGGTGGTGGCCCTCGGGGCAGAGGCCTTTGCCTGCTCAGCCATTGCAATCAATGTGAGGAAGGTTCCAGAGGGAGGAGGAGGAGGGCGCCCTTGTGACTCAATGCAATTCAATGGGGGGGGGGGGGGGGGGAGGATTGCGGCCTCCCTCCTTCCTTCCTTTCTTCTCCTTTCTTGCACTTCCTGCCTTGCAAGCCATGGCCCCGCATTGCCTAAGATGCCTCTTCTTCCCCTCCTCCTCCTTCCTTCCTTCCTTCGAACTTTATTCACTCCTTTTTCAGAAGCAAAGAAAAAGACTAAAAGTAGGTTTTCACAGCAAAGGAGATTTGCAAGCAACCAGCCAAAAATATCAAGTGAAAGTGAAATAATTTCAACAGCCATTTCACTACATTAACAATGATGGGCAACCTTTTGAGCTTGGTGTGTCAGTACTCACCGAAAAACCGAGCGTAACTCAAGTGGGGTGTCACTTCGAGAAAAAAACCCATAATTTCATGATATTTATAGTTTAATAACAAAAATATATTATTGTAATATATAACTGTATTTAATAAACCAAAAACTAATTATTTAACTTACCTGCTTTTTCTATAATGCCATATATCTCAGCATTATAGAAAAGTGCTGGTGTAGGAACTGAGGATGAAATGTCCTTCTTGGGATACAGCCCCATCTTCTCTGTATGCGGCCACATGCGGCTGTGTGTCATCGAAAATGGCTATGCGTGTCAGTGCTGACACACATGTCATAGGTTCGCCATCATGGCACTACAAAATGTCCCAAAGCTGTTTCTATAATACAGTAAAACTGTTGACATTAATCTGTTTGTCTTTATTTGCCTTTATCATGGTGGGTTGTTGTTTTTTCTGAGCTGTCTGGCCATGTTCCAGAAGCATTCTCTTCTGACGTTTCACCCACATCTGTGGTAGGCATCCTCAGAGGTTGAGGGGTCTGTTAGAAACTAAGTAAGTAATGTTTATATACCTGTGAAATGATGTCCAGACTGGGAGAAAGAACTCTTTTCCCAGGCAGCAATCAGCCAGGCCTTGAAGTTGCAAGGCCATTAAATTTATTTATTATTTAATGACATTTCTATGCCGCCCTTCTCACCCCGAAGGGGACTCAGAGCGGCTTACAAGATATATATACACACACACATACAATTTATACCTGTGGAATGATGTCCAGACTGGGAGAAAGAACTCTTCTCCCAGGCAGCAATCAGCCAGGCCGTGAAGTTGCAAGGTCATTAAATTTATTTATTAATGACATTTATATGCTGCCCTTCTCACCCTTAAGGGGACTCAGAGCAGCTTACAAGATATATATACATACAATATGTTAAATTATTAGCATAGTACAATATCCGTATTATATATTACTATATTGCACTATACCATTATATTGTAATATTATTAGTAATATTACATGTAATATAAATATATAATTATAATATCATTATTAGTATTATATTGCATTGCAATATTATAAATTTAATATTATTTATGATATTTATATGCCGTCCTTCTCACCCTGAAGGGGACTCAGAGAGGCTTACAGGATATATATACATACAATATGTTGAATTATTAGCATAGTACTATATCAGTATTAAAAGGTAAAGGTTGTCCCCTGACATTAAGTCCAGTCATGTCTGACTCTGGGATGTGTTGCTCATCTCCATTTCTAAGCCGAAGAGCCGGCGTTGTCCATGGACACCTCCAAGGTCATGTGGCCAGCATGACCGTCATATAATATCAGTATTATATATTACTATATTGTACTACGCCATTATATTATAATATTATTAGTAATATTACATGTAATATAAAATATATATTTATAATTTATTATTAGTATTATCTTGTATTAAATGCCAATCAAGCTGGCCAATGGGTCTGACCTCACAGCCTCTGAGGATCCCTGCCATAGATGCAGGCAAAATGTCAGGAGAGAATGCTTCTGGAACATGACCAGATGGCTCGGGGGAAAAAAACACAACAACCCAGTTATTCCAGCCGTGAAAGCCTTCAACAATACATTTTATTATGGAATTTTAATATTAATATCAAGCCAATGCAGATCTAGGCCCGCTTTCAATGGCAACTCCAGGCAGAAGCTATATTTATTTATTATTGATTTGCAACATTGATATCCCACCAAACTCTGGATTGACTTGGAATTTTAGTATTAATATCAGGCCAATGCAGAACTAGGCCCGCTTTCAATGGCAATTTCATGCAGAAACTACATTTATTTATTGTTGATTTGCCATATTGATCCATATTGATATCCCACCCAACTCTGGATTGACTTGATACGAATATGGGAATCCAGGACTCAGAGCGGCGCATGTAAATGCACAATTCGACACCCGTCTCCCTCAATCCCCTGTGGCTTCGCTGTATAGTCAACGTCTTACGTAACTAAATCTAAAACAAGCGCACGAAGCGGAGACATTCCTGCCCCATTGTGTGCCTAACCCACACCTCCACCAACAATGGCAGGCTAAACCCTAAGCACACAGGCACAGAAAAACTCTCCTTCCAACCCCGCAGCACTCGTGGTGCGCTTGTAGGTGGTTAACCCTTCCGCTCCCATTCCTTTGGGGAGGAAATTGTGTCCTGATTTCCCCCAAAAACCAAAGGATGCTTGCATGGAAAAGCCAATTCCTTGCAAATAAATAAAATTGTTTAAATCTCACAACATATAATTGCAGAAAGAAAAATTTTTTTCCGTTGTACACCCACAAGGATTGCTAGAGGTTAGATCATGCTTGGGCAAACTTGGGTTTTCCAGGTGTTTTGGACTTCAGCTCCCACAATTCCTGGCCTCAGGTCCTTTCCTTTTCCCCCTTAAGCGGCTGAGGGGGAAAAGGAAGGGACCTGAGGCCAGGAATTGTGGGAGTTGAAGTCCAAAACACTTGGAGGGAGGGTCCAAGTTGGCCCAGGCCTGGATCTAGATCAGTGTCGTTCCTGGTTCCCATCGTGCCCTTCTCTCCCCCAACGTGGAGTGATGGGAGTCCAAATAGCCTTTGCCTTTTGGGGAGCAGCGAGGGGTCTGTAGGTGTATTGGTAAGCAAAGACCCCCACCCAAAACTCCAATATATTTGTTGATAACGACGGAAAGAGGTTCGAAATGATTCCGAGAGACCGGCAGCCGGCAGGATCTGAGCCCCTCAAGTGCTGATTCAGTTGTGATAGCTTTTAAACTAATAATAATAATAATAATAATAACAATAATAATAATAATAATAATAATAATAATAATAATACAAACTTTATTTCTACCCCGCCACCATCTCCCCGATGGGGACTCGGAGCGGCTTACATGGGGCCAGGGCCAGACAACATAATACAGCAATAAAATCAAAGCATATACAACAAACAACAACAACATCATTATCAAAACGACATTAAAATAATAATAAAATAATAATAGTAATAATAAAATAAAAATTCCAATAGATACAATCATGATAGAAATGACAATGGGTGGGCCACATATTCCGAATAAAAAACAATTAACAGACTATGATGAGAAAAAATAGGAGCAGGAAGTTTAAATGGAACTCATAAAACACACAGCATTGTGGGGCAGAATATAATACAATATAACACTAGTAATAATAATACAATATTATATATTATAATTATATATTTACATTACATGTAATATTACTAATAATATTACAATATAATGGTATAGTGCAATATAGTAATATCATACTGATATTGTACTGTGCCAATAATATAATGTTTTGTATGAAAATATATCTTGCAAGCCGCTTTGAGTCCTCTTTGGGTTGAGAAGGGCGGCATAGAAATGCCATAAATAAATACATAAATAAAAATAAATAAAGCAGTGGCCTCCCATTTGATCAATAGCAGAAAGGCTGGTCAGCCTTCCTTTGAGGAGGAGGCCTACGCTTGGATCTGGGATATGACAACAATAGCAATAACAATAATATTAAATCCAGCATATAGATCTCATTTGCTGTGACATACTGTGTTTTTGTGTCAGTAAAATGATTATGATAATAATAATAATAATAATAATAATAATAATAATAATAATAATATGAAATCCAGCATATAGATCTCATTTACTGTGGCATACTGTGTTTTTGTGTCAGTAAAATAATAATGATAATAATAATAATAATAATAATAATAATAATAATAATGCATTGTATTGGGAACCCACTTGTCCTAATAGCTGCTGCTGGTCTTTATCAGGTGATAAGAAAAGGAAGGGGAACTAATCTCCCTGTTTTGCTTTGCTCATTGCTTGGTCTCTTTCCTGGTCCTTGTGCGAGGTGGGCCCAAGTGGGTTGTTTGTGCCACCACCTGTATTTCATATTTAATTTATTATTATTTAATTGGGGTGCTGTGAGTTTTCCGGGCTGTACGACCATGTTCCAGAAGCATTCCCTCCTCACTCAAGAGCAACACTCAAAAACAGGGGAATTCCAGACAAGAAACAATCAGGGCCAGCTAATCCAACTCCTAACAAAGGATCCTCCCAGGCAGGGAGCAGCCAAGCTTTGAAGTTGCAAGGCCATTCAGTGCTAATCGAGCTGGCCAATGGCAACATTCACACTTGGCTCTAGCAGGCAAGGAGTTCTTTCTCTCTCCCACCCTGGACATCATTCCACAGGTATATAAACAGGCAGTAAGCACCCAGATCTTGAACCTGCAAGGCCATTCAATACTAATCAAAGGGAGCCAATGGCAACATTCATACTTGCCTCCAACAGAACTTTCTCTCTCAGATCCTGGACATCATTCCACAGGTATATAAGCAGGCAGTAAGCACCCAAGCTTTGAAGCTGCGAGGCCATTCAATGCTAATCAAGGTGGCCAGTGGCAACATTCACACTTGCCTCCAACAGACCTTTCGCCCTCCCTCCCTGGACATCATTCCACAGGTATATAAAGAGGCAGTAAGCACCCAGGCTTTGAAGCTGCAAGGCCATTCAGTGCTAATCAAGGTGGACAGTGGCAACATTCACACTTGCCTCCAACAGAACGTTCTCTCTCAGATCCTGGACATCATTCCACAGGTATATAAGCAGGCAGTAAGCACCCAAGCTTTGAAGCTGCGAGGCCATTCAATGCTAATCAAGGTGGCCAGTGGCAACATTCACACTTGCCTCCAACAGACCTTTCGCCCTCCCTCCTTGGACATCATTCCACAGGTATATAAACAGGCAGTGTGTTGGAACCCAGAAGCCTTTAAACAGTCAGACTCAGTAATAAAATTCATACTATCAGTAGTAACAGTACCAGGAGACTCTACTACAACACAGTAAGCACCCAGACCTTGAAACTGCAAGGCCATTCAATGCTAATCAATGGCAACATTCACACTTGCCTCCAACAGACAAGAGATCTTTCTTCCTCCCATTGCGGACATTGTTCCGCAGGTATATAAACCCCACTTGCCTAGTTTCTAACAGACCTCACAACCTCTGAGGATGCCTGCCATAGATGTGGGTGGAACGTCAGGAGAGAATGCTTCTGGGACGTGGCCAGGCAGCCCAGAAAGCCTTTGACAACATATTCTGGTGTGTCTTTGCATCCCGCTGAGTTGTGTCCTCTGTCTTTTCCCCCCGAACAGCGATAGTGCTGGTGATGGGCAAGGAGGGCGTCCACGGCGGCTGCGTCAACAAGAAGTGCTACGAGATGGCCAACCACTTGCGGCGGTCACAGTATTGACCGTCCCTCCGGACCCCCCTCGGGCCCCCTCCTCCTCCTCCTCTCTCTTCTCTCTCTCTCTCTTTCTCTCTCTCTGCCTTGACCCTCCTGCGGTACAACTACTGATGATGATGACGACGAAGATGAAGAAGACGGAAGAGGAAGAAGAACAGCAGCGGAAGGAGGAGGGGGGGCCTCTTGGAAGGCGGCTTCCTGGACCATCGAGGGACCCCCCCCTCCCTCCCTCCCTCCCTCGGCGCCACCGGATCTGCCGCATTGAATATGATTCCAGCTCCTCCCTCTTCCTCTGCCATGTTTTGTTCTAACCCCCCCTCCCTCCCCCCCCCCCCAATTCTTCCCTTTTTTGCCATTTGTTTTTTCTATCACACAAACACAAGAAAAAAAATCCTTATTATCGCTGCCAAATTTTCTGGTCGTTACAAGGTGTAGTTTTTTTGGTTAAGAAAACTATATTGGATCAAGGAAAAGAAAACCGAATAAAAGAAATCGAGGTTCTAAAAGCGCCGTGCGGACGTCTCTCTGTGGGGGGGGGGTCTCTGTCTGGAGGGGTTTCGCCTTGGGCAGCTAGAGACCTGGTGGGCCATCCATTCCAACCCCATTCTGCCAAAAGCACTCCCGACAGATGGCCATCCAGCTTCTGTTTCAAAGCTTCCAAAGAAGGAGCCTCCACCACACCCTGAGGCAGAGAGTTCCACTGCTGAACGGCTCTCACAGTCAGGAAGTTCTTCCTCGTGTTCAGATGGAATCTCCTTGCTGTGGTTCCTCTCCACCAGGCTTCCCTATCACTTTGGGGAGGGGGCACACCCCAAAAAGCAAGCCGTCTTTCCAGCCCCATTTTGCAGGAGGTCAGATCCTAGGAAGAAGGAAACCAAAGGCCAAACTTGGGGAGGGGGCACACCCCGAAAAGCAAGCCCTCTTTCCTGCCCCATTTTGCAGGTGATCACATCCCAGGAAGAGGGAAACCAAAGGCCACAACTTGCGCAAGGTGTGTTCAGTGGTGTGTTTGGGCCTTGTTTTCCCATTGAAGTATCCTATGGATTGGGTTGTTGTAGGTTTTTTTGGGCTATATGGCCACTTGGGGTGGTGACGGCCGACAGGGAGCTCTGGCGTGGGCTGGTCCATGACGTCACGAAGAGTCTGAGACGACTGAACGAATGAACAACAACATGGCCATGCTCTAGAGGCATTCTCTCCTGACGTTTTGCATGCTCTAGAGGCATTCTCTCCTGACGTTTCGCCTGCATCTATGGCCCCTTCCTTTCCCCCCTCAGCCGCTTAAGCTAGATGATAGAGTGATAGACCTAAAAGATGCCTACCTTCATATCTCAACAAATAGATATAACGCTTAAGCGGCTGAGGATGCTTGCCATAGATGCAGATGAAACGTCAGGAGAGAATGCTTCCTAGAACATGGCCATATAACCCGAAAAAGCCTACAACAATCCAGTGATTCCGGCCATGAACACCTTGGACAAGACATTATCCTATGGATTTCCTTGGGGTTTTCCTCTCACTTCCTCGCTCTGAAACATGGTCTCCAGCCACTGATATTCATGAGTTGGCCTCCCATCCAAGCACCAGCCAGGGCGCTCCTCTCTCTGACTTCCTTGCTCTGAAACATGGCCTCCAGCCACTGATATTCATGAGTTGGTCTCCCATCCAAGCACCAGCCAGGGCTGCCTCTGCTTTATTTATTTCGTATCAAAAGCATTGCATAAATTAATATAAAACCGACAAAAATAGAAGGAGCACAGGCGGCTAAATATCTTTTGACCAAAAACGGGCGACAGCAACAGCATTGTCTGTAGCCTCTGGCAATTCTTCCTCTGTGCGTGAGGCAGGGCATAGAGGACAATTGTCTGTTCTGCTCTACGGTCACACAAGGTCTGGGATTCTTTCAGGTCGTGCCGTTTGGCCAGGTCATCTTTCAATCTGACCACTCCACTTCTGATCGCCTCTGGTGCCTTGAGGGTCACTATGCCATTAGCACCTCTCATGGGGAGTTCCATTTGAGGCTGAGAGAGCATGACTTGCCCAACACTAGCCATCCAATGCTTTCTGTGGCCAAGCAAAAGGGGATTTGAACCTAACCCAACACTAGAATTATGTCCTCGTAAAGGTAAAGGTTTTCCCCTGATATTAAGTCCAGTCATGTCTGACTCTGGTGGTCATCTCAATTTCTAAGCCGAAGAGCCGGTGTTGTCCTTAGACACCTCCAAGGTCATGTGGCCGGCATGACTGCATAGAGCGCCGCTACCTTCCTATCGTAGCAGTAGAATCATAATCCTAGGGTTGGAAGAGACCTCATGGGCCATCCAGTCCAACCCCCATTCTTCATTCAAAGCACCCCTGACAGATGGCCATCCAGCCTCTGTTCAAAAGCCTCCACCACACTCTGGGGCAGAGAGTTCCACTGCTGAATGGCTCTCATAGTCAGGAAGTTCTTACTCATGTTCAGATGGATTCTCCTTGCTGTGGTTCCTCACCACCAGGCACATTGCATTCAAATCACCCCTGACAGATGGCCATCCAGCCTGTTTCAAAGCTTCCAAAGAAGGAGCCTCCACCACACTCCGGGGCAGAGAGTTCCACTGCTGAACGGCTCTCACAGTCAGGAAGTTCTTACTCATGTTCAGTTGTACCTATTGATCTACTCGTGTTTGCATGTTCTCAAACTGCTAGGTTGGCTGAAGCTGGAGCTAACAGCGGGAGCTCACCCCCACTCTTCAGATTCGAACCCACAACCTTTCGGTCGACATGTCCTTGCAATGCATGAATGTGGGAAAGTAGATAAGCAATTGCTTTTATCCCTGACTGCTGCTACTAGTAGTAGGAATAGAATCCTAGGGTTGGAAGGGGCTCCCAAAGGTCATCCAGCCCACCCCATTTTGTCTTGCCTACAATGCAACCAATGGAGAGGAAGGCAGGAAAATGGCAAGGTTGGAAGCCTTTGGGTTTGCATTGCGGCCCACAGATGTATCGAGAAGCACAAAAGAGGATTCGAGAAAAGGTAAACAGGAAGTGAGTAGTTCCCATTTCCCTCCAAGGCCTGGCTCTCAGGTGGAGAGTCTCAATGGCCTTTGGGGGCCCCTCCCTGGCAGCTCTGGATCCGGGGTGCAAAGGAAAGGGCCGGTCAGTCCAGAAAACAATGGCTTCTGGGCAAACAACGCAGGGCCGGAGGGCACAGAGGATGTCTTGTTCCCAGGAGAACAATGGTTAGCCTGAGATGCGGATCAGGACTGGCACTCGCTTCCCGGATACGTCTCCTTTTGCAAACAGCACAAGCATGGGCCAACTCTGGCCCTCCTTCCAGGTGTTTTGGACTCCGACTCCCACCATTCCTCACAGCCTCAGGCCCTTTCCTTTCCCCCCTCAGCCGCTTAAGCGTTAGATCTATTTGTTGGGATATGAAGGTAGGCATCTTTTAGGTCACCATCTTTTAGGTCGGCTATGAAGGTAGGCATCTTTTAGATCTATCACTCTGTCATCTAGCTTAAGTGGCTGAGAGTGAAAAGGAAAGGGCCTGAGGCTGTGAGGAATGGTGGGAGTTGGAGTGCCTTTGTGCCTTTCCAGGGCCCAACTTGGCCAAGCCTCTACCTGCCCTGGAAAGGCACAAAGTCCAAGTGCCAATCCCAGCCGCAAACAAATAAGGCGCAGGTTGCCTTGGAGGGAGGTGGCAACAAACCAAAGGGCCAGGGCCGGGCTCCTTGGAAAAACCCTAGAGTTGGGAGGGACCCCCAAAGGCCATCCGGTCCAGCCCCCTTCTGCAAGGAAGGATGGCACCATCCATTCCCTACCAACAGGTAGCCATCCAGCTTCCGAATAATAATAATAATAACAATAATAACAATAATAATAATAATAATCCTAGAGTCAGAAGAGACTTCTAAAGGCTATCCAGCCTACCCTAATAATAATAATAATAAATAATAATAATAATCGGGACCTCTAAAGCCCATCCAGCCCAACCCATTATTACTATTATTATTAATAATAGACTCCTAGAGTAGAGTCGGAAGGGACCTCTAAAGGCCATCCAGCGCACCCTAATAATAATAATAAATAATAATAATCAGAAGGGACCTCTAAAGACCATCCATATAATAATAGTAGTAGTAGTAGTAGTAATAGTAGGAATAGAATCCAAGGGTTGGAAGGGACTCCCAAAGGCTATCCGGCCCACCCTCTTTTATAGGCAGGAAAGCACCATCCATATCATAATAGTAGTGGTGGGAGTAGTAGTAGTAGTAGGAATAGAATCCAAGGGTTGGAAGGGGCTCCCAAAGGCCATTCAGCCCACCTTCTTTTCTATGCAGGAAAGCACCATCCATATAATAATAGTAGTGGTGGGAGTAGTAGTAGTAGTAGTAGTAGTAGGAATAGAATCCAAGGGTTGGAAGGGACTCCCAAAGGCCATCCAGCCCACCCTACCTTGCCAGGCAGGAAGGCACCATCTGCTCCCTACCAACAGCCACCCAGCCTCTGCATCATCATCATCATCATCACAGAGTTGGAAGAGACCCCTAAAGGCCATCCAGCCCACCCCTTCCTCCAGGCAGGAAATCTCCATCCATGTAACAACAGTAACAGAAGTAGGAGTAAGATCCTAGGGTTGGAAGGGACCCCAATGGCCATACAGCCCACCCTATTTTGCCAGGCAGGAAGGCACCATCAAAGCCCTCCCAAGAGATGGCCATCGACCCTCTGCTTCCAAACTTTCAGAGAGAAAGGAGACGCCAAAGCAACTTGGAGATCCCGGAGGAGATAATGCATCAGGGGAAATGCAGCATGGAGTAGACCAGGGGGTCCCAATTGTGGTCCATGGAACGAAAAAATGGTCTGTGGCCTCCCCATTACTACATCGTTGCAACGAGAGCGATCGGTCTTGCGAAACCCTCTTATCGTGCCTTTCAGGCTTATGAAATATAGTTTTCTGTGGGTGAGGAGACGGTGAGTACTGGGTGGCATATGTTCTGTTTCAGAAACTAGAGCTGATGTGGTCTATTTCGGAATCAGCACCACAAACGACCAAACCGAACCTAAAGTTGACCAAAAACTGTTTTGTAAGAGTGGTCCCTGGTCCAAAAAAGGTTGGGAGCAAGTGGGTTAGACGAAGAGGCAGGGCAAGAATACCTGGTGGTTAATCCAAATGTGACAGACAGGGAGATACCACCAAAGCCCTCCCGACAGATGCCCATCCAGCCTTGGCTGAAAAAGCTCCTCCTGAAAGCAAGGTGGAATATTGATAGAAAGAGTGTGTGCTAATGATGCATTGCTATGTGCCTGCCTTCTCCTCCCATGAAGAAAACCATGAGATCCCATCAAAACCCTCCCAACAGATGCCCATCCAGCCTTGGCTGAAAAAAGCTCCTCCTGAAGGCAAGGGACTCCATTGGATTCTTAGATGGAATATTGATAGTGTGTATGTTAATGGTGCATTGCTATGTGCCTGCCTTCTCCTCCCATGAAGAAAACCATGAGATCCCATCAAAACCCTCCCAACAGATGCCCATCCAGCCTTGGCTGAAAAAGCTCCTCCTGAAAGCAAGGGGATTCCATCGGATTCCCAGGCGGAATAGTGATAGTGTGTGTGCTAATGGTGCATTGCTATGTGCCTGCCTTCTCTTCCCATTAAGAAAACCACCAAAGCCCTCCTGACAGATGGCCATCCACTCTCTGCTTCAGAAGAGGAGACTCCAAGGCAACTTGGAGATAATGGAGGAGGTGACGCATCAAGGGAAATGCAGCTTGGAAGAGATGAAGAGGTGGCGCAGGAATACCTGGCTAATCTAAATGTGCCAGGCAGGAAGATACTACCAAAGCCCTCCCGACAGATGCCCATCCAGCTTTGGCTGAAAAAGCTCCTCCTGAAAGCAAGGGGACTCCATTGGATTCCCAGGCAGAATAGTGATAGTGTGTATGTTAATGGTGCATTGGCATGTGCCTGCCTTCTCCTCCCATGAAGATAACCATCAAAGCCTTCCTAACAGATGGCCATCCACCCTCTGCTTCAGAGGAGGAGACTCCAAGGCAACTTGGAGATAATGGAGGAGGTGACGCATCAAGGGAAATGCAGCTTGGAAGAGACGAAGAGGTGGCGCAGGAATACCTGGCTAATCTAAATGTGCCAGGCAGGAAGATACTACCAAAGCCCTCCCGACAGATGCCCATCCAGCTTTGGCTGAAAAAGCTCCTCCTGAAAGCAAGGGGACTCCATTGGATTCCCAGGCGGAATAGTGATAGTGTGTGTGCTAATGGTGCATTGCTATGTGCCTGCCTTCTCTTCCCATTAAGAAAACCACCAAAGCCCTCCTGACAGATGGCCATCCACTCTCTGCTTCAGAAGAGGAGACTCCAAGGCAACTTGGAGATAATGGAGGAGGTGACGCATCAAGGGAAATGCAGCTTGGAAGAGATGAAGAGGTGGCGCAGGAATACCTGGCTAATCTAAATGTGCCAGGCAGGAAGATACTACCAAAGCCCTCCCGACAGATGCCCATCCAGCTTTGGCTGAAAAAGCTCCTCCTGAAAGCAAGGGGACTCCATTGGATTCCCAGGCAGAATAGTGATAGTGTGTATGTTAATGGTGCATTGCTATGTGCCTGCCTTCTCCTCCCATGAAGAAAACCACCAAAGCCCTCCTGACAGATGGCCATCCACCCTCTGCTTCAGAGGAGGAGACTCCAAGGCAATTTGGAGATAATGGAGGTGATGCATCAAGGGAAATGGAAGAGATGAAGAGGCGGTGCAGGAATACCTGGCTAATCGAAATGTGCCAGGCAGGAAGATACCACCAAAGCCCTCCCAACAGATGCCCAAACACCCACCCTCCTAATTAAAGAAAGACACAGATGCATATTCATATAAAGAGCGTATAAAGAAAACCACCGGCCTCGGGTTTGTTTGAAACTGTTTTTTAATAGAGTGACCCCCCCCCAGGAGAAGCCCCTCCTTCCCAAAAGAATCAAAGCCCCTCCCTCTTATTTCTCAAGAATCTGTACATTTAAAAATACAAAAGTCCTTTACAGTAAAATCTCTTCCTCGCTCGGAGGAGCCGCAGCAGCAGCAGCAGCAGCACAATTTGGGGAGGGGGGAAAGGCTTTGGTCCGGGGAGGGGGGCTTCGGGGAAGAGGACCCCCATGGAAAACCACCCCCAAATAGATAGGACCCCAAACTATGAGAGAAATCCCAAGGTAAGTATTGTTAGAATAGAAAGTTCCTTTTTGGGGGGGGGGTTGGCATTATTGGGGGGGGGGGGGTCTGCCCTTTTGTGGGGAGGGGTCTCCTCTGTTCCAAAGCGAACGGCAAAGACCGGCAAAGACCACCTCCCTCGTCGCTCTCCTTCCTTGGCACGGAACCCAAAGTGCAAAAGTGTACGTGAGGGGAGGGGGGGGGGGTGCTTGTGCAAAAAACAGGAACCAGGCCTTCTCTGAGTATGTGCACACGTGCGTGCAAAAAATGCATTGCACACTTACTTGCACAACTCTGAATCCATCATCCAGCACGACTTTCTGATCAGGGTTGTGTGGAGAGGGCTTGCAATAATAACTGACCCCCTCCCCAAATTTTGCACCCCCAAAAAGGGGGTGCAAAAATGGTTGTGGACCCCCCCCCCCAAAAAAATAAGGAAGCCAAGGCCCTTTTGTTCGGACTCTGCAACCTCATCTTCCCCTGCAAAAGACAGGCAATATGGACCTCGAGACCTTTGCCAGGGGGTCTTCTAAACAGAGGAAGCCCCCTCCCCAATTTGAGGGGTCACCCCCCCCCCCCCAATTCAATGTGACTCTCCTCCTCCCAAACTTGCAAAAGACAGGGAATATCTATAGACTTCTGGAAGGAGGTCTTTTAAACACAGTGAAAGCGAGAAGAGGAAGACCCCTCCCCAATTTGAGGGGTCACCCCCCCCCCCAATTCAATGTGACTCTCCTCCTCCCAAAGGTTGCCTGCAAAAGGTCACCTGCAAAAGACAGGGAATCTGAACCAATGGGCTTTTGGAAGGGGGTCTTCTCAAAGTGGTAGTGATGCCTAGAAGAGAGAGACCCCTCCCCAATTCAAGGAGTCCCCCCCCCCCCCAATTCAATGTTACTCTCCTCCTCCCAAACTTGCAAAAGACAGGGAATATCTATAGACTTCTGGAAGGAGGTCTTTTAAACACAGTGAAAGCGAGAAGAGGAAGACCCCTCCCCAATTTGAGGGGTCACCCCCCCCATTCAACGAGACTCTCCTCCTCCCAAAGGTCACCTGCAAAAGACAGGGAATCTGGACTGATGGGCTTTTGGAAGGGGGTCTTCTCAAAGTGGTGGTGATGCCTAGAAGAGAGAGACCCCTCCCCAATTTGAGGGGTCACCCCCCCCCCCATTCAATGCGACTCTCCTCATCCCAAAGGTCACCTGCAAAAGGTCACCTGCAAAAGACAGGGAATCTGGACTGATGGGCTTTTGGAAGGGGGTCTTCTCAAAGTGGTGGTGATGCCTAGAAGAGAGAGACCCCTCCCCAATTTGGTGGCTCGCCGCCATTCCCGCCTTCCCTTCCTTCCCTGAAAGGTTAAAAAAGACAGACTGGAAGCTGAGTGGTCAAAAGCAGAGCGGAAGGGAGGGTCCCGCTGGGGGTCTTTGGCCCTAGACCAGGAGGGGGCCCTCCGAGGGTGGGGAGTGGGCCATACTGCCGAAGGAGGGGGTCCCGGCGGAGGGGGAGGGGCGCAGGAGGGGGGTGCGCTCCGAGTCGGGGGCCCCTTCCCCTTCCTCTTCCTGCCCTCCTCCTCCTCCTCCTCCTTCCTCTTCCTCGTCCTCTTCCTCCCTCCTCCGGCCGCCCGCTTGACCGTCCCCTCGGCCTCGGGCGCCACCGCTGTGTCCGTCGTCTTCGGCCTCAGAGTCCGAGTCCTGGGAGGAGCGCAGGACGCGCTGCTTGCAGACCGGGCAGGTCTTCTTGGTGCCCGTCAGCCACGGGTCCACGCACTTGCAGTGGTAGGCTGCCCAGAGGGAAAGAAAGAGGGAACTTAGAACTTAAGCAAGAGACTTTTGGAGGGGACCCCCAAAGGGCATCTAGTCCAACCCCCTTGAAGGCAGGAATACATTAAACCATAAATGAATATGGATGTCCTTACTCTCCTGCAAATTTATTTATTTATTTGCTTGCTATAATTTATTTATATACTTATTTATTTATTTACTATACAAATATAGTAAATAAATTTATTTATTTATTATAATTTATTTCTTTACTATAATTTATTTTTATTTATTTATTTACTATACAAATATAGTATATAAATTTATTTATTTCTTTACTATAATTTATTTCTTTACTACTTATTTATTTATTTACTATACAAAGATAGTAAATAAATTTATTTATTTATTATAATTTATTTCTTTACTATAATTTTTATTTATTTATTTATTTATTTACTATACAAATATAGTAAATAAATTTATTTATTTATTATAATTTATTTCTTTACTATAATTTATTTCTTTACTACTTATTTATTTATTTACTATACAAAGATAGTATATAAATTTATTTATTTATTATAATTTATTTCTTTACTATAATTTATTTTTATTTATTTATTTATTTACTATACAAAGATAGTAAATAAATTTATTTATTTATTATAATTTATTTCTTTACTATAATTTATTTTTATTTATTTATTTATTTACTATACAAAGATAGTAAATAAATTTATTTATTTATTATAATTTATTTCTTTACTATAATTTATTTTTATTTATTTATTTACTATACAAATATAGTAAATAAATTTATTTATTTATTATAATTTATTTCTTTACTATAATTTATTTTTATTTATTTATTTACTATACAAATATAGTAAATAAATTTATTTATTTATTATAATTTATTTCTTTACTATAATTTATTTTTATTTATTTATTTACTATACAAATATAGTAAATAAATTTATTTATTTATTATAATTTATTTCTTTACTATAATTTATTTTTATTTATTTATTTACTATACAAATATAGTATATAAATTTATTTATTTCTTTACTTTAATTTATTTCTTTACTACTTATTTATTTATTTATTTACTATACAAATATAGTAAATAAATGTATTTATTTACTATAATTCATTTATTTACTATTTATTTATTTATTTATTTATTTACTATACAAATATAGTAAATAAATGTATTTATTTACTATAATTCATTTATTTACTACTTATTTATTTTATTTACTATACAAATATAATAAAATAAATAAATCATTTCCAGGAGAGTAATGACATCAATAAGCATTAGATGGACCCTTTGCTTACAACTTAAGCAAGAGACTTGCAGAGGGGACCCCCAAAGGGCATCCAGTCCAACCCCCTTGGAAGGCAGGAATACAGTAAAACATCAATGAATATGGATGTCATTACTCTCCTGCAAATGTTTTGTTTGTTTATTTACTTATTTATTTACTATAATTTATTTCTTTGCCACAATTTATTTATTTACTAAACAAATATAATAAATGAATGAATGAATGAATGAATGAAAACATTTACAGGAGAGTAATGACGTCAATATCCATTAGACGGATGGAACCCATGCTTAGAACTTAAGAGTGACTTGCGGAAGGGACCTCCAAAGGCCATCCAGTCCAACCCCCTTGAAGGCAGGAATACATTAATCCATAAACGAATATGGATGTCATTACTCTCCTGCAAATGCTTTGTTTTATTTATTTATTTACTATAATTTATTTATATACTACTTATTTATTTATTTACTATACAAATATAGTAAATAAATTTATTTATTTACTTGCTATAATTTATTTTTATACTACTTATTTATTTATTTATTTACTATACAAATGTAGTAAATAAATTTATTTATTTCTTTACTATAATTTTTTTACTATTTATTTATTTATTTACTGTAATTTATTTCTTTACTACTTATTTATTTATTTACTATACAAATATAGTAAATAAATTTATTTATTTACTTGCTATTATTTATTTATACACTACTTATTTATTTACTATACAGATATAGTAAATAAATTTATTTACTATAATTTATTTCTTTACTACTTATTTATTTACTACACAAATATAGTAAATAAATTTATTTATTTACTTGCTATTATTTATTTATACACTACTTATTTATTTACTATACAGATATAGTAAATAAATTTATTTACTATAATTTATTTCTTTACTACTTATTTATTTACTATACAAATATAGTAAATAAATTTATTTATTTACTTGCTATTATTTATTTATACACTACTTATTTATTTACTATACAGATATAGTAAATAAATTTATTTACTATAATTTATTTCTTTACTACTTATTTATTTATTTACTATACAAATATAGTAAATAAATTTATTTATTTACTTGCTATTATTTATTTATACACTACTCATTTATTTACTATACAGATATAGTAAATAAATTTATTTATTTACTTGCTATAATTTATTTTTATACTACTTATTTATTTATTTACTTACTATACAAATGTAGTAAATAAATTTATTTATTTATTTACTATAATTTTTTACTATTTATTTATTTACTATAATTTATTTCTTTACTACTTATTTATTTATTTACTATACAAATATAGTAAATAAATTTATTTATTTACTTGCTATTATTTATTTATACACTACTTATTTATTTACTATACAGATATAGTAAATAAATTTATTTACTATAATTTATTTCTTTACTACTTATTTATTTATTTACTATACAAATATAGTAAACAAATAAATAAATAATTTGCAGGAGAGTAATGACGTCAATATTCATGAGATGGGAGATGGAGCCCTTGCTTTGAACTTAAGCCAGAGACTTGTGGAGGGGACCTCCAAAGGCCATCCAGTCCAACCCCCCTCGAAGGCAGGGGTGCTTTGAAACACCACTAAAACCTTTACAGGAATGCAACAGCATCAAGATCCCTTGGAAGCCCTTGCTTAGAACTCAAGCTAGAGACTTGTGAAGGAGAACCCCAAAGGCCATCCAGTCCATTAAGCAAGAGACTTCTGGAGGGGACCCCCAAAGGCCATCCAGCCCAACCCCCTCAAAGGCAGAAATGCTCTAAAACACCACTAAGGCGTTTACAGGAATGCAATGGCATCAAGATCCCTTGGAAGCCCTTTCTTAGAACTCAAGCAAGAGACTTGTGGAGGGGAACCCCAAAGATCATCTAGTCCAACTCCCTTGAAGGCAGGGATGCTTTTCCTCCATGAGGAAGACCACTAAGGTCTTTAGAGGAGAGGAAAGGCTCCCTTGAGAACAGCCCCCCCCCCCCCAATTGGAGGTCCTCCTCACCATGAGAACAAGGCAGGATCCGCAGGCGCTCCCCGTCTTCGTACTCCTCCAGGCAGATGGCGCAGACGTCATATTCATCCCCTGGGCAAAGAGAGAAGAGGAGGTGCAGAAAGGCATCAATGGGGGCCACATAGGGATGAATGGGGAAGAGGAATATATCTATGGCTGGATGGCCACCTGTCGGGAGGGATTGTATTGTGTCTTCCTTGATGGCAGAAGCGTGTTGTGCTGGATGGCCTTTGGGGGTCCCTTCCACCTCTAGTATATTATGATGTATCTATCATATATTGATCTCTATCTAATTATCTACCTATCTATCTATCTATCTATCTATCTATCTATCTATCTAATCTATTTATCTATCTCTTCCAATCATATCTATGGCTGGATGGCCATCTGTTGGGAGGGATTGTATTGTGTGTTGGGCTGGATGGCCTTTGGGGGTCCCTTTGACCTCTAGAATACTATATCTATCATATATTGATCTATATATCTCTATATATAAATCTATTTCTCTATCTCGCCCAATCATATCCATGGCTGGATGGCCATCTGTTGGGAGGGATTGTATTGTGTCTTCCTTGATGGCAGAAGGGTGTTGGGCTAGATGGCCTTTGGGGGGTCCCTTCCACCTCTAGCATATTATGATGTATCTATCATATATCGATCAATCATATCTATTTATCTCTCTCTCCCAATCATATCTATGGCAGGATGGCCATCTGTTGGGAGGGATTATATTGTGACTTCCTTGATGGCAGAAAGAGGTTGGGCTGGATGGCCTTTGGGGCTCCCTTCCACCTCTACAATTCTATATCTATCATGTATCGATCGATCATATCTACTTCTCTATCTCTCCCAATCATATCTATGGCTGGATGACCTTCTGTTTGGAGGGATTGTATTGTGTCTTCCTTGATGGCAGAAGGGGGTTGTGCTGGATGGCCTTTGGGGGTCCCTTCCACCTCTTGCATACTATGATACATTGATCTATGTATCTCTATCTATCATATTGATTTCTCTACCTCTCCTCTACCTCATATTCATGGCTGGATGGCCATCTGTTGGGAAGGATTGTATTATGTTGTAAGGGTGTTGGGCTGGATGGCCTTTGGGCTCTAGCATCCCATGCTGAGCACAAGCCAAGAGTGTGATGCAGCAGCAGTGACCAAGGCTCAAGGCGATGGCTCCTCTCGGCCTGGCCGGAGTGGGCTGGTCTGGATGACCTCTGGGTGCCCCTCTTGTAATGCTTCTAAAGGCATCTCCAGCACAGGATCTGCAAGCAGGGCCGAGCATGGGGAGAGGAGAGTGCTCCCTCCCTCCCTCCTCCTTCCTGCCCACTTCCTCCTCCCCTTCGGTGGTGGACAAAACAGGAAGCGCCCCCCCCCCCCCCAAGGCCCAGGAGGAAGCGGTCAGAAGAAGGAGAAGAAGACAGCAGGGCCTTATAAGGCAAAGAGCGCAGCACACACAAAGAGAGAGAGAGAGAGAGAGAGAGGCCCTTCCTGAGCCTCCGCCTGAGTCAGACCCAGAAAGGAAGAACGAGGCCAAGGCTGAGAGAGAGAGAGGAGGAGGAAGAGGAAGGAAGGAAGGGCGCCCAGCCTGGCCCTCCTCCGGCCCCACATACAGAAGGGGTGGACTGCATGGCCTTTGGGGGCCCCGTCCAAATACAGTGCAAGATACACACACACACACACTGCCAGGGAGTCCAGTTTAGACTCCTGCTTTCAAGACTTCGAAGCAGAGGCCGGGTGGCCATCTCTCGGGAGGGTTTTAATGGTGTCTTCCTGCATAACGAAGGGTTGAACTGGATCCTATTATTATTATTATTATTATTATTATTATTATTATTATTATTATTCAGAGGCTGGGTGGCCATCTCTCGGGAGGGTTTTAATGGTGTCTTCCTGCATAGCAAAGGGTTGAACTGGATCCTATTATTATTATTATTATTATTATTATTATTATTATTATTCAGAGGCTGGGTGGCCATCTCTCGGGAGGGTTTTAATGGTGTCTTCCTGCATAACGAAGGGTTGAACTGGATCCTATTATTATTATTATTATTATTATTATTATTATTATTATTATTATTCAGAGGCTGGGTGGCCATCTCTCGGGAGGGTTTTAATGGTGTCTTCCTGCATAACGAAGGGTTGAACTGGATCCTATTATTATTATTATTATTATTATTATTATTATTATTATTATTATTCAGAGGCTGGGTGGCCATCTCTCGGGAGGGTTTTAATGGTGTCTTCCTGCATAGCAAAGGGTTGAACTGGATCCTATTATTATTATTATTATTATTCAGAGGCCGGGTGGCCATCTCTCGGGAGGGTTTTAATGGTGTCTTCCTGCATAACGAAGGGTTGAACTGGATCCTATTATTATTATTATTATTATTATTATTATTATTATTCAGAGGCTGGGTGGCCATCTCTCGGGAGGGTTTTAATGGTGTCTTCCTGCATAACGAAGGGTTGAACTGGATCCTATTATTATTATTATTATTATTATTATTATTATTATTATTATTATTCAGAGGCTGGGTGGCCATCTCTCGGGAGGGTTTTAATGGTGTCTTCCTGCATAGCAAAGGGTTGAACTGGATCCTATTATTATTATTATTATTATTCAGAGGCCGGGTGGCCATCTCTCGGGAGGGTTTTAATGGTGTCTTCCTGCATAACGAAGGGTTGAACTGGATCCTATTATTATTATTATTATTATTATTATTATTATTATTATTATTATTATTATTCAGAGGCTGGGTGGCCATCTCTCGGGAGGGTTTTAATGGTGTCTTCCTGCATAGCAAAGGGTTGAACTGGATCCTATTATTATTATTATTATTATTATTATTATTATTATTCAGAGGCCGGGTGGCCATCTCTCGGGAGGGTTTTAATGGTGTCTTCCTGCATAACGAAGGGTTGAACTGGATCCTATTATTATTATTATTATTATTATTATTATTATTATTATTATTCAGAGGCTGGGTGGCCATCTCTCGGGAGGGTTTTAATGGTGTCTTCCTGCATAACGAAGGGTTGAACTGGATCCTATTATTATTATTATTATTATTATTATTCAGAGGCTGGGTGGCCATCTCTCGGGAGGGTTTTAATGGTATCTTCATGCATAACAAAGGGTTCGACTGGATGGCCTTTGGGGACCCCTTCCGACTCTAGGATCCTATTATTATCATTATCTTCTTCATCATCATCATCATCATCATCATCATCATTATTATTATTATTCAGAGGCTGGGTGGCCATCTGTTGGGAGTGCTTTCCTATATAGGAAAAGGTTGGACTGGATGGTCTTTGGGGGCCCCAACTGAATACAAGATACACACACTACCAGGGTGTCCACTTTAGTCTCCTGCTCTCGAGGTGTTGAAGCAAAGGCTGGGCGGCCATCTTCCGGGAAGGTTTTAATTGTGTCTTCCTGCATAGCAAAGGGTTGGACTGGATGGCCTTTGGGGACCCCCTGTGTCTTCCTGCATAGCAAAGGGTTGAACTGGTTCCTATTATTATCATCATCATCATCATTATCTGTTGGGAGTGCTTTGACTGTCTTCCTATATAGGAAGAGGTTGGACTAGATGGCCTCTGGGGATCCCTTCCAACTCTTGAGATTCTATTAATTATTATGCAGAGGCTGGATGGCCCTCTGTCAGGAGGGGTTTTTGTGTGTGTCTTCCTGCATAGCAAAGGGTTGGACTGGATGGCCTTTGGGGACCCTTTCCAACTCTAGGATCCTATTATTATTATTATTATTATTATTATTATTATTATTATTATTAAGCAAAGTCTGGATCGCTATCGATTATGACGGAATGGATTGTGCCTTCCTGCCTGGCAGAAGGGTGGACTGGATGGCCTTTGGGGCCCCCCTCCCAACTTTTATTATTATTATTATTATTATTATTATTATTATTATTATTCCTGCATAGCAAAGGGTTGAACTGGATCCTATTATTATTATTATTATTATTATTATTATTATTATTATTATTAGGCAGAGTCTGGATGGCTATTGAATAGGACGGATTGGATTGTGCCTTCCTGCCTGGCAGAAGGGTGGACTGGATGTCCTTTGGGGGCCCCTCCCAACTTTTATTATTATTATTATTATTATTATTATTATTATTATTATTAGGCAGAGTCTGGATGGCTATTGAATAGGACGGATTGGATTGTGCCTTCCCGCCTGGCAGAAGGGTGGACTGGATGTCCTTTGGGGGCCCCTCCCAACTTTTATTATTATTATTATTATTATTATTATTATTATTATTATTAGGCAGAGTCTGGATGGCTATTGAATAGGACGGATTGGATTGTGCCTTCCTGCCTGGCAGAAGGGTGGACTGGATGTCCTTTGGGGGCCCCTCCCAACTTAGCGAAGGAGTCCCTGCTGTTTTCTGCACTGGAGAAGCATCTCGTGGTGGGACTCCTCCGTCATGGGATTCTTCTCTTGGCACAACGCTCCTGCAGAGGAGGCTCCTGGCCAAGAAGGCCTTTCCTTCCTGCCTTTCCTTCCTTCCTGGCTCACTCACAGGAGCAGGGATTCGAACCCGGCGCTTCCACCGCACACCCACACGCCTCTCAAAATAGCTGCAAGGGGAAAGTCACCTTTCAGGGTGCCATTCCGAGAGGAAAAGAGGAAAAGAAGGGCAACCTCCCCCCCCATCTCCTTCCCCTTGGATGTGTTCCTATCTCCTTGCCAAGGCGGCCCCGGGTTCGAATCCCGGCAATGTTCGAGAAGCCTTCTTTCTGCCCGAGGCCTCCTTGGACACCCTTTGCTTTCTTTCGTTCTGCGTATTGCACGGAGGAGATGGGTGTTTTTGGTTCTCGCTTCCAAATAGGTCAGGCCCCATTGCTTGTGGTTAACCCATGACGTCTGCTTCGGGCCAAGAGCACAGCAAAGGAGAACAAACAAGAACAAGAAAGAGTTATATATATATATATATATATATATATATATATATATATATATGTATATATGCACGCGCGGGTTGTATTTTTAGCTGCTTCTTGCACCAAGTTTGGGCTTTGGGGAACTAGTTGTGTGTGCAG